AGGTGGATAGCTCTTGTCAATAATAACAATAATCTGTCAAACTGTGACTTACTTGGAATTTTCTTTCACAAATTTGCGGATCTGCGATTAGTTTAGGGGAAATGCTACAGTAACAAAGCAAAAGCTGAAAGAACTTCAACAAAGGGCGAGGAGAGTGGTTATAGGAAGATAGTGGACGATAGATATTGCAGCAGAGCCTTCCAGGGGCACTCAGCACAATAACTAACACTTTCCCAAGCACCAAATAAATACCGAGGAAGGGTTTATCCTTGTCTATCTTATTGTCACTCTCTATTTACCCATGGTTACTGGAATTTTAAATAATTACGAAGCAACAGGTATTTGCGCAATGTTAATTAGGCAGATTACCTTGAAAAACATTGCAGCCGTATTTCTCATATAGTTTTTGGCAAATTTCTCAGTTTTTAATGACAATTAATTTATTTTACTAGTTTTTCTGTACTCCTATAACAGCGCCAGACAACACCTCCAGAGGAATGACGCCAATTTTGAATCACCCTGTATATGACCACAGAGATGAAGACACGAATTTGATATAATGACCTTGATCTCGAGACAAGCGCTGGAACGTCTGTTACCAAAAGGAAAATGAGAACAGCGAAAATGAAAATCCTAAGAACAATAAAAAGGGATCACATTGCATGACAGGATACGCAACGAGAGCACCAGAATAGAACTGGAAGCGCGGAGGTTGTCAGATGGATGAGAAAGAGACGCCGGTATTGGAGATAAAGAACGAGTCCAGACCTAATTGCAAAGTGGGCAAAAACACAAAAACCAGAAGCAATGTGCCTAGCTGGCAGGCCTCCAAAACGCTGGTATGAAAGCTGGATATCGGGATCACAGGAAGGCTGATGACAGAATTGACAGAAGAAGATGTACATAGGCAAAGATGCAATAGGCACAAGCAGCTCCAACTCAACGAGTATATCCTGTGCTGTTTAATCTAGCTCTAGGTCGCTAACAGTTTCCGTTTGAAGATCGATTTAGTTGCTGTTAAATAAAGCCTCAGGTGTTCGGGTAGTTCACTTAAATCACACGAATATATTTTAAAATCATATATGTTTAATATTAAATACGTGCAAAAACAAGCTTCTGTATCAACTAATATAAGCAGTGACTGCGACAAAATGTTAATTTGACATTAAGTATTTAATGTTTTTCATTTAATTGAATAATTTATAAGTATTTGTTTATGAATTTACTTCGCAAATATAATAACGCGAAGTGATGCATAATCTGGATTGCCAATTTATTGAGCTTTTGCCGTCATTATCTTTCCCTAGCTGAAGACAGTGGGTACCACTACCCGTCATATTAGGTTCATTTGCTCCCCATCTTGTATAACTGAGAACGCCTCCTGTCTCTATCCATACCCAGGAATCATCGCTTAGGTATGCTCCGCCCATCCAGTATGCTCCTGATAGAAAATGGTGAGGACTTTTGATAAAATTAGTTTTAAAATTAACTTACTTCCGGAAACCGCTAAACCAGCTGCATCCATTAAATTATATAGATTAAGACTCTCAGTCGCACTTTCGATCCGAAGCAAATCCATATCAATCATTTTACATCCGGCTAAAGCATGCAGAAAAGTGGTCTAGAATTATAATTAAAAGTTTAAATATACATAATTAAAAATAGTAGTTCCATATAACTAGCTTCTATAAAATATACTTACTTCGTACTCCGAGACATAATAGGTGTTATTCAATGGAAGCATCAAAGATGATGAACCATAGGAAATTAAAAGAAATGCCCCTAAGGATACAATGAAATAAAGCTTGAGCATGTTCTTTAATTAATCCATTTAAATGCAATTTTTTTTTTTATATAGTAAACAAAACCCGGTTCTTATCTTTTCGAGGTGTATAACAAGTGGGGAATAATGAAACAACAAAGCTTGGTTTGTATACTCGAGATGAAGCGTTTTTGGGAACTGATTGTGTTTTATTTGCTTAACTTTGGCTACGGCTCTTGACCGAACAAAAGTCCGCTGTTATTTGAAGTATTTACGACGCACAACGACACATTTAACTGTTTGAGATTTTGAAATAAAATGTTACGAAAGTTATTCTAAATGTGCTCTAAAATGGGAAAACTATTAGAAAACTTTCATACTGCAATATTAACTCAATCTTCAATTATCTCCAATTGAGGTACATTGCAGAAATATGAAAAATATATACATTTTAGTTTAAAAAACTGAAAATCACGGATTTCTGGGCTGAAAATATGACCACAAGTGTTTACCACAACTTACCTTAGATCTGAAGTAATTGTGTGCACAAGGGATTTTGAGCTTAAAAACTCGTAGACGGTACCTGCAGTTCTTTCGCATCTTTGCAGAAAAATACTCACAACCGCTGTGAAAACAGCTCAGTCTATTCTCCTATTGATTTTAATCAAGAAAAGTGCTGGGATCGATTATTGATTACACACGCCAAAAATTGCTGGATGAACATCACTTTTAATAGTATTCGTTCAGCTCCTATCTAGAAACTATTTAGCCCCAAAATTAGAGGGTTTGGCAAATATAATAAAGCATAATTTTCCCTAATTGAAGACAGTAATCAACAGTAGTGAAGATATTTGGTGCATTTGATCCTCATCTTGTATAGTTGAGAAGCAATCCCGTCTCTATCCATATCCATGCTTCCTTCTCTAAGAAGACCACACCCATTCTGCATGACGATTAGGAAAAGTTATAATTTTGTTACAACAGTCTTAGTATTAATTTACTTTCAGAAATAGCCAGACCAGAATAATTGAGAATTCTTTCAGTTTTATTATCGATTTTAAGTAAATCCATATCAATCATATTACATCCTACTAAAGCATGGAAAAAAGTGGACAAGCATGAACAAGACTATGTGCGAGACGTTTATTTCAATTCAATCAAATTCAATAGAAAATCGTTCAAAACAAAAATTGTAATGGTGAAAGAAGTATTTTTAAGTAAAAATGATTTGAAAATAGATATTTCTTCTCTGAGCATATAAAATACTTACTTTGTATTCAGAGACATAATATTGGTCATACAATGGAAGCATTAAAGGAGAATCAAAAGAAAAGTAAAACATTAGCTCTAGCAACATAATGAAATAAATCTTCAACATGATTCTCCGTGAAATAAACTGAATTGTTTCAAACTTCTTTATATAGTTATAAAATCCGCTTTTCGTCTTGCAACAGTTTCACATTCAAGATCGATAGTATGTATAAGTTTTATTAACTTAAAACGATAAAACATTTACTGACCAGCATTAAGGAGAAACATAAAAAAACTGTTTACACACAGCAAATACATAGTATACCTACATCTAAATTGAAAGGCTTAATTAAAAAATTGCTTTTATCGAAAGTCACAAGGAACGTTTTATCTATGGAGCAGCGTTTTTTATACCAAATGCGATTATTAGTTGCTATAGACTCATTCTTTTAATGTTTCACAAATGCTTTAATTAACAATATTTCCAAGACAAATGCTAAAAAACAATAATTCAAAAACTAGAAACACTTTTTTTATTTATTAATTTAAACGTGGAATAAAAATTTGCCCGAAAACAGTTAAAACTCCTTTTTATGTATAATAAAATGCTTTCCAATCAATTCCATTGTTTTAAGTACACAGAGCCTAGATACTGTTATTGAATTTCTCTGAATGTGCGTCAAAAATTGTTTTTATGACCGTAATAAATACAAAATTATTAAAATTTATACGCGATATTCAGATGTTTAATTTTTTTTGAGTAATACCGCTCATTATGGTATTTACAGGGGGCTAAATCTAGAGAATATGCTGGGTGGGGCAGCAGTTCAAGCCTAATTCGTGAATTTTTTGCCATGGCGACTACACACGTGTGCATCTGTCCATTGTCCTGATGAAACAGTACTTTTTTGTTGTAAAACTGTTTTTGTTGAATCTGTGTAAAAGCTCTGAATAATATGTGCATTTAGTAGAGTTGAATATGTCGCTCGAAAAATATTTCCCGCATTTCATTCATAAAAGAAGGTTGCCTCAAAAGGGGGAGAATAAATAAAAACAGTAACGAATTCACAAATTTTTTAATGATTTCTATTTGTTACAATATTCTTGTTAATGCAACCAACATCATGATACAAATTTAACTCTGTTGGCAAATGTAATAGCGATTAGCGGTGCAAAATTTTGCTTGCCAATTGATAGTACTTTTACCGTCATTGTCTTTCCCTAATTGAAGACAGTAATCACCAGTAGCCGTGACATTTGGTTCATTTGCTCCCCATTTTGTGTAATTCAGAAGTACTCCTGTTTCTATCCACACCCAGGCACCAGTGTTTAAGTAAAGTCCTCCCATCCAGTATCCAACTGAAAACAAAGTTATGAAGCAATAAATACAACTTACTATGAAGGATAACTTACTTCCTGATATTGCTACATCAGCATCAGCCATTATAGTGTGAATGTAAGTACTCTCATTTGCACTGTTGATCCTTAGTAAATCCATCCCAAGCTCTTTACATGCTCCTAAAGCTTCAACGAACGTTAGCTGTACTCACAGAAAAAAACGTTTTTTAATTGTATTATTTCATTTCGTAACACGGGTTCCGAACTCATATTTTATGCAAAATACAACTTGTTTATGTAGATTTTCATGATTAAGTATACTTACATTGGTTTGGTAAGCATAATAAGTGTCATCCAATTGAATCAATAAAGATGGTTCAAAGGAAATTAAAAATAAAACTCCTACGGAGGCGAAAAAATAAAGCTTGGCCATAGCTCTGGATGTGATGACTTTGGTTGCAAAAAAAATATTTTTATATAGCAAAACCTGTTTCTTATCTTTATAATATATGTAAGCATTCATAAAACAGATGCACTCACCAAACGCTTTGTTTGCCCACTCAAGATCAAGCGTTTTTCGAAATTCATTATTTTTAATTTGTTTTGCTTTTATCATAGCTCTTGAGCCAACAAAAGTGCTTAAACCGGTCAACGTTTAGCTTTTTAAAATATTGAACAGAATCAAATCAAATTATAAACCACTTAATACAAAACTTTATCAGAATACGCAAGTATGCAAATAGTGATTGACCTAAAAATAAACTTTTGAGAGAAAAGTCGGTTGCAAAGTCAACCAAACTTCGTGAAACTTGTCGAGAGAGGATTGGCGAAAAACTGTGTCTGGCATAAAATATGGAAACACCTAATAAGTTGTTAAATTTCGCACAAGAGCATTGAACTGTTATAAGCCTGCTGCTGTCCAAAAATTAATTATAAAAAGCTCCTGAAAGTAATTGCACGGTGTAAAGTTCTGCTAAATTCTACAAAAAAAAACCGCAATTATGTTCAAATACAAGAAAGACATAACATATATCCTAGATAAATAGATATTTAGTTAGAACAGCTGTAATTGCACTGAACTTATTCCTTCAGCTTAATTGTTTTTGTTTCTGAATAAATTGTAAATTGGTGGTGTATGGGAATAATGCGTTGCGGTATTAATAAGAAACGATATCCGGCTTCAGAGAATAGAATAGCGCCCCGTATACGGGCAGATTATCCGTACACTTCAGATACATAGAGATTTGATTCRACAGGTCCAGATCGGACGAATTAAATCTTTTCCTGTCCACTAATTGGCACCAAGCACGAGTGCCGATTCTTCCTGTGGGATTGGAGATATCAGATCCGTCCGTTAGTGGAGTGAAATCTTACGTTTCAGACAGACTTGATCTGGCGCGTGGTATTTTAAGTGAACTAAAAGATGACTCGTGGCAGAGGCAGATTATTGATAACTAAGGCCCGGTTCCACCAAGAGTGATTAAATTATTGGTTAACTAATCACACTCATTTCTTAATCACCACTTTAATCATGATTAAATTGTCATGCGTTCTACAACAAACATTTTAACTCCGGTTAGATAATCATCAGTCTCATCGGGTAAGATCGTATTTCCTTTGAATCAACGGTTCTGATTGGTTCAAACAGCTGACAGATCCACTGAAATAATTTTCCCCCAAAATAGTATTCACATGTCGCTTGAACATTGATAGAAAAATATCCTTTCTATTACGAAATACTTCTGCGTTGTCTCCMCAAAGGATTGTACTTTAATGTGAGTACAATCCAACACTGAAATATAACTTTAAAACGAGCTATTGCATAAAAATTTACTTGTGCTGCACTTATTTCCCTTTTTGTAGATGGGAGTTTAATATCATTTCGAGCTAATGTGGCTATTGCAGCAGTTACTCGATGTACAATTCGATGTGCACAAGTTTTGGTTACTCAAAAAAAGCCTTCAGCAGCAATAAGATGTGATCTAGTTGCATATAACCTCAACGCAAGTAAAAGTTGTGTCATGGGTTGAATAGCGTTGTTTCAAGTCCATTTAATTAACATATGGCAATTTTACTATTATTAATTTATCATAACGTCCAGCAGTAATGTTTGGACAGTGTTTTTCAATAAGCTAAATTGCATAAAAAAAGCTCAAGGTGTCCATGATTACAAAATAATTGACTCGCGGTTTAAATATTCGGGGTTTTCTAACAACCTGAATGTAATTATCCTAATCAGGCGATAATAAAACATCGTCATAAACCAAATCCAACATGTGTTTACTTTGAAAAATTGTTTCAGGTTATAATACCACACTAATCGTGATTATCGTCAATAACCAGCCATTTTGGGCGGTTAAGTTAACCACTGATAAGTGTCCATAATCGTGGTTAAAATTATGGTGGAACGCAAAATGTTGATTAATTAGTTTTAATCAATGATTAACATTATAATCGAAGATGGTAGAACCGGGCCCAAGTGTTTAAAACTCGAAACAAGAAACGGATAGCCCATAAGTATTTATAGTACCTATAAAAACAGAAAATCATATAATTTTGTTTGAAAGAAGAAACCTAAGATACTTACCAAAGAGTGGGTACGTACATCTTCGAAAGAGTTCCCACTTCTTTTAGATGATTTTACCTTATTTGTTTCTTTCCAAAATGCAGCTCGGATATTTTTTTTTTGTAACAAAACCTCGATCTACCTTTGGAAAATGAGGCTGACATTAGCTTATCAACTCATCATGTGCACGATTTTTAAGATTTTTGTTTGTATAATCTTTTGCTTTTATTTTCCATAAGCAAGTACGACTTCTGTATATTTTTATAAAGTCTGTTAAAATGTCTCGTGCTCACTCACTCATGGTGATAATTGATATATGATTGTTATGAAATTTGGCCCGCAAGTCCAGATCTGGAGATTTATTTTGTACGAAATTCGCATCGAGTCGTATCTGGCTCGTGGTTAACCATTAACGCACCGATATCTGTTCGAATTTGGCTCGCCACGTATCAGATATGACAGATATTTCGCTGGTATATAGGGCGCTATTGAGTGATTATTTTCTTGCAAATCAAAATCCGCCAGAAAATTTCGCGGCAATTCTGCAAATGATTAAACAAACAGGATAATTAATACAATGCCACAGCTTTTTGATGTGCTTACTTCTGTCAATTTTAACATAAGATGGTTTTAATAGTATTTGTTAATTATTTTATTATATATTTTTGTTAAATGCTGAAATAATGCAATTCGAAAACAAA